TAAATTGCTGAAGCTGGCCTTGAAGTTGCAATCCTCCTGCTCAGCCTCCTGAGTAGCTGGGATTGCAGGTGTGCACCCCCACTCCCCGCACAGTAGCATTATTCACAATAGCCAAAAGGTAGAGGTAGCCGCGCCCCTTAATGGATGAATGAATGGTTCACCCACACAATGGTTGACTCCTGGGCCTTACAAAGGAAGAACACTAGCAGGGTGTGGTGGTGTACACCCAGCAGCTCTGGAGGCCGAGGTAGGAGGATCGAAATTTCAAAATCAGTCTCAGCAACTTAGCCAGGCCCTGTGTCTAAATTTAAAAAGGGCTGGGATGTGGTTAAGTACCTCTGGGTTCAATCCGTGGCATAAAAAATAATAATAATAACAGGGCTGGGCTGGGGCTCAGTGGTAGAGCTCTTGCCTAGCACAGGTGAGGTCCTGGGTCCCATCCTCAGCACCACATAAAAACAAATAAATAAGATAAAGGTTAAATTCTTAATAATAGTAATAATAATAATTAGAAAGGAGACATAAAGAAAAGATGAGGAAAAGATTCTATTTCAGAACTTCTGCATGATTTCCCAGACCTGTCACTCCCTAAGCCAGTCTCTCTCCCAGGCCCATCATTCCCAATTTTCTAGAAAAGCCATAAGCTTACCTGTGTACTGTTCATTAACCCCAAATAAGTCAATTAAGACAGATATGATATTTTAAGGAGCCAATAGGTTTAGGGGACTTTCCAGCGCTATCTACTGATCACATAATGAAGACCGTGACAGCTTGAGGATCTGGAGACTGACCAGGCCACCAGAAGCCATCTGAGGTCACCAGATACCATTCCTACATACCTTGCCATATCTGCCCCCACCAAGTTCCCTTTAAAAGAAGAGCCGGCAACCCCAAAACCCATCTTTTACTTTAGTCTGGCCCCCTGTTCTCCTTGAATTTGTGTCTCCTGTCCATGTTGGACTGGTGGATGATGAAATTCTTTTGATTCCTCAGGCCCCGAGTGGAGTTTCCCCGTCCTCCTGGGAACTCCCTGGACCCTTTTCAGGGCCACTCTTCTCCTGTAACAGAAGGACCATGGAACGAGTGGCTTAACAGCTGACACTTACTCTCTCCCAGTCCTGGAGGCTGGGCGTCTGAGATCGAGGCAGTTGGCAGTCTCTCTCCAGGACTCTAGCCGCCATCCCCGCCATCCTGGGTCCTCACAGGCTCCTCCCTCTCTGGTGGACACCTGTGGCCCATCCCCCACACTTTTTCTTTTTTTTTTTTGTTATTACCAGGGATTGAGCCCAGGGGTGCTTCACTATTGAGCCACCTCCCCAGCCCTTTCTTAGTATTTTATTTAGAAACAGAGTCTCTCTGAGTTACTTAGGGCCTCATTAAATTGCTGAGGCTGGTTTTGAACTTGCAATTTTTCATGCCTCAGCCTTTGAAGCTACTGGGATCACAGGCAGCACCACCACACCCAGACATCCCCTCTGATTTTTTTGATACCAGGGATTAAACTTAAGGGCACTCAACCACTGAGCCACACCCCCAGCCCTATTTTGTATTTTATTTAGAGACAGGGTCTCACTGAGTTGTTTAGTGCCTCACTTTTGCTGAGGCTGGTTTTGAACTTGAGATCCTCTTGCCTCAGCCTTCTGAGCCACTGGGATTACAGGCGTGTGCCACTGCGCCTAGCCTATACCCTCTTAGAAGGACCCCAATCCTATTGGGTTAGGGCACTCCTTAATGACCTCTTTTTACTTATTTATTTTTGTAGTGCTAGGGATAGAACCCAGGTCCTCACACATGCCAGGCAAGTGCTCTACCTCTGAGCCACACCCCAGCCTATGAAACCTCATTTTTTTTTGAGAGAGAGAATTTTAATATTTATTTTTTAGTTTTCGGCGGACACAACATCTTTGTATGTGGTGCTGAGGATCGAACCTGGGCCGCACGCATGCCAGGTGAGCGCCCTACCGCTTGAGCCACATCCCCAGCCCCTAAAACCTCATTTTAACTTACCTCCAAACCCTCTCAGGTACTGGGAGGTAAGACTTTTTTTTTTTTTTTTTTTTTTTGATACCAGGGATTGAAACTAGGGACACTTAACCACTGGGCCACATCCCCAGCCCTTTTTATTTTTTACTTTGAGACAGGGTCGTGTTGCTTAGGGTGTCACTAAATTGCTGAGGCTGGCTTTGAACTTGCGATCCTCCTGCCTCAGCCTCCGAGTCGCTGGGATTACAGGTGTGTGGCACTGCACCCAGCAGGAATTAGGACTTCAACATAGGAATCGGGGTGGACGGGGACACAATCCAGCCCATTACAAGGACAGAACTAGTTAATATGTGTAATTAATATGTGTAAAGGGATTAGCATCTGGTGCATAGTGAGGGGTGTCAATCCCTCCGTCTGGGAGACCCCATCTATTCCCTTCTCCTTTCACTGCCCCCGGGGTGGGTCTCAGAGCCCTCCCCACAGCTCAGGGAGGCCCAGATCCCCACCGCTCTCTTCTCCAAGGAACACTCTGGCCCCAGCAGCATCCCTTCCCAGCGCCCCTTCTGGGTCCCTCAAAGTCATCATTTGAGGGAAGAGCACTAGACGATCACAGGAGTGAGGTGGGCTCTCCTCCTCTCTCAAGTGGGATAGGCCTCATGGGCCTGAGGGTCCTCCCCAGAGGCCCTGTAGAAAGAGTGGGGTGCAGGAGACCTGGAGGGGTGTCCCATGGAGACGTGTCCTGGAAGCCCACAGCTCTCACCCACCAGAGACCTGCAGAGTCCTCTTGGGGCTTAGTCCCATCCCAGTGAGGCAACTTGAGAGCCTGGCCTTTGGACAGCAATGGGGGGCCCAGGGAGACTGTGGGGGGGCCCAGAGCTGTCCCAGCCTGCTCAGTTTCCTGTTTCCCTGCCCCTGAGCAGGCAGGACTGCCTCTCCTTTCTTTGCTCTTTCCCTGGAGTGCCATTGAATATTTCCCCTTAGTGACCTTTTGTGGTCACGGTTAACCCCAAGTCACCTGGAGTCCTGGCCACAGTTGTTTAGGCTCCCTGGGGACTCTCCAGGCCTCAGTATTCCCATCTGTGCAATGGGGAGTGGAACTTTTTTGTCACCGTACACTGCAGGCTTAGTAGAGGTACCACTCTCAGAGTTGGGGGATCCCTGATGTTCCCTAACTTGTCTGGGAGAAATGCAGAGGTTGGGGCACAGGGGACAGATTTGTATCCTAATAACCAATGTGGTGCAGGCTGAGGGCTGTGTGTGTGCGTGTGTGTGTGTGTGTGTGTAATTGAACTCTAGGGATGCTATCCCACGAGTTACATCGCCAACCCTTTTTATTTTGAGACAGGGTCTCCCTAAGTTGCTGAGGCTGGCCTCAAACTTGCAATCCTCCTGCCTCAGCCTCCGAGCTGCTAGAATTACAATCTGTGGTTGTTGTGTGCGCAGATCTTGTGTCGTGTGTCTATGCGCACAACATGCCTCTGGACACACTGTGCACCTACTGTGTGTGTGCATCTGTCTACACGTATCTGCACTTGCCCGTGCATCCCCTGAGTCTGTGTGGGTGCAAGTTCACAGGCGTTCATGTGTGATAGAGCACTGTTTGTGTACAGAACCCCTGAGAAGCAAAGGAGACTGCAGCTTCAGCTGGACCCAAAGTCTTGGAAACCTCAGAACTTGTCCCCACAGAAGAGACCCCCAGGAGGGAAAAGGCCAGGAGGCAGGGAGCAGGGTGCCCAGGTGAGTCTGGTGTTCCCTGTGGCCCTCCAGAACTCCCTCCTGTCTCCCTCCTCCTCTTGCCTCCGCGTGGGTCTGGGGGGTCCCCCTGGACCCCAAGCCAGACCTTACCTGGAACCTCACTGCCTTCCCCCTACCCTGGGAAGTCCTGTGCCTCTACAGGTCCCTCTGCCCAGGGCCTCTTCTGTCCCTTTCCCTGGGTGAGGCACCACCCACGGGAGAACTAGGAATGTCCCTCTTCACCTCCCTCAGACCCTGGGCTGCAGCCACCCATTGTCACATGGAGTTCACCCACTTCTGCAGAATGAATTCTGTAACAGCTGGTGGCACCTGGATGCGGGGACCAGACCCAGGCCATCCCAGAGTTGGGCTCTGCCTCGGGAATGGCAGTCTCCCTGCATTTGGCTCTTGAAGGTTTCATCTGTCCTTCCTTGTCACTGACACTTTTCTGGCTTCCGGCCTGGCCTCAATGAGGCGGAGCCGCAGAGACCCCTGAAGGCCAACAGTCCTTTGTGGCTGCCACCTGCCCCTGTCAATCTGAGGACTCCTGCTCCTAGGGACCGCCAATCACAGAGCGGGCCACCCTGTCCCGTCATCATCGGCCAATCAGCGCGCCCTCTGGGCCTCGGACAGGTGGGGACCAGCACCATCTTCCATCCTGGCCTGGCTGGTGGGCACCTGCTGGCTCGCGGCCCACCACGCAAGGGTGTGACTCTGCTCTTCGCCTCAGTTTCCCCCTCTGTAAAATGGAGCCCTAGGGATACCCTGGCATGAAATGGAAACACAAAAGGCCCAGTCCAAGGCCTGCCCCTCCGGAGTCCCTCAGAGGCTGGCCCCATGGAGCTCAGCCAGGGAGGGCAAGGGCATGGGCTCAATATCCAGGTCCACAGGCCTCAGTCAGTTTACTGTCTGCCTGGGAGAGACCCGCCTCCAAGCTTAACCCAGCCCCATGTGCATTGCATGTCATTTGTGGGGTGTGTAATTTAATGTTGGGGAAGGGACCCCAGGGGCAGGGGCATCTATCAACCGAGGGCGAATTACCCTTCACCTGCACTTGAATATTCAGCACGCGGAGTGGGAGTGAGAATCCCACCCCAGGCCCAGTACTCAGCCCCGCTCCTACTGGGTGCCCGGGGATCTGGGCAGAGGGGGCTAAACCAGAGTGCACCTCCTTGGGGAGCCTGGTTCAGAGCTCCCGGCCACCCGCTGCAGCCAAGGCCTGCCTGCCTTCCAGGTCTCCCACCCGTCCCAGCCCCCACACCAAGACACAGGCTGCTCAGGGGTGCAGACTTGCAGTACTTTATTTTGCTTTTTTTTTCCAGTTCAAAGCTACTATCATGGACATTTAGAGTTATACAAATGACACTTACAAAAAATAAAAGACCAAGACACCCAGAGTGAGATGCACGGTGGAGGGGAGGCCGGGGCAGGGTGGCCGGGACCTGGAGGGCTCAGGCTCACCCCAGAGCTCCCAGCTGCAGGAACACCTGGCTTCTTCCTGCCCAGGAGACCCGAGGTGTCAGACATGGAGCACCAAACGTGGCAGGGCTCTGGCTGAGGCATAGGGGCCCAGGGCTGGGGGTGGGCAGAGGGAGGGAGGAGGCCACCAGCTGGGGAGGGGGAGGGCAAGTGCCAAGAACCCGCCAAGACCACTCACAACTGCAACCAGGCTTGCCGGGGCCTCCAGCAGTGACATTAAAAAAAAAAAAATACTGATTTGGTCATTTTCTGCTTCCAGTCAGGCCAGAGTGGAAGGGAAGAGACAGGAACAGGGCATCCCCAGCCCAGCCCAGCCCAGAATGCCCCGGGGGCAGGACCTGCAGCCTGCTTAAAGTCAGGGAGCAGAGACCCTGCCATCCAGCCAGGACCCCAAACAACACACACGGGCAAGTCTGCCCCAGCCTGGTCAGCCCCACGGGAAGGCCACCCTCCTCTACAGGTGTGCAGGACTAGGCTCCATGGAGGAGTCCCTGCTGGCTGGCTGGGGACAAGCGCCCAGCTCCTGGGGGCAGGGAAAGGCTGCAGGAGGGAGCAGGAGATTCCAGTTAAGCGTTCCCGCCATGCCTAGGGGCCTGCCAGGCCACACTGCTCCACAGCCACTTCCCGGGAAATAAGGCTCAGAGTCGTCTGAGGTCAGAAGAAAGAGGTGGCAGCCTTGTCCCTTGGCAGAAGAGGGCAGAGGGACGTGAAGACCCTCCAAGGGATGGGCTGCAGCTGCTGACCCCTGGGGACAGGGGAGGGAGTCAGTAGGGGCAACAGGTGGGGGCACCGTTTTTCTCTGGGGTTTCCAGTTTCAAGGCAAGGGGCTCACCAGCTGCCACAGGGCCACCTGAAGAAGAGGGTTAGCAGGAGGGACTGAAGGAGCCCCCAGGCAGGCCAGGGTGGGCCTAGTACTCCCACAGAGAGGCGGGATCGATGGTCTCTGCACAGGCCTTCAGGACCCCCGCGTGGTCCCCCTTCAGATAGCGCCCGCCCACCTTGATGGCCACCTTATTATAGTCGCAGAACTCGAAGAAGAAGTCCACAGGGACGTCACTGCTGCTGGTGACAGAGGAGTCACTGCCCACCATCCAGTACTTGCCCGTGGAGTCTGGGGAGGGAGGACCCGTCAAGCTGTGTCCCGCTGACCCCCACCCACACCTGCCCTCTGGCTCCCACCCCGCACGGCCTTCCTCCTCCTTTTCAAGGATCAATGTCCCCCACCAGCTTCTAGAACTGACTGGAGTCCCCGTGCCCCCCAAACCCTCCTGCCCACACTGGACACATGGAGCTCTGAATCCAGCTCAGCTACTCTGGAGTCTGGGGTTCTGTCCGGCAGCTGAGGTGTGTCCAGCCAGCCTCCCCCGACTCACCTCCCACCCTCCACATCCCCCTGTCCAGGGCAAGCAGGTAAGTCCCCATACAGACAAGAGGGAAAGTGTGGTTCCCAGTGCAGGGCGCTGGTGGCCACAGGATACCCCTCCCCTGGGGCCAAGCAGGGCCACAGTGCTCCCTGGCTGGCACCTTCCAGAAGAACCTGCCTTTGATGTTGTAGGCGCCGTCATTGAACTCCAGCTGGAAGACGTCGTAGTTGGAGCGGTTGGCATCCAGGGTGCCAGTGACCTTACGGCAGCCGATGAAGCCATGTTCCCCACGAAACACGATTATAGGGCGGTTGATCAGCTTCATGAGGAATAGCTCCGAGTCCCCTGTCCCAGGAGGAGAGGGGCAGTGAGCCTCATGAAAGGGGGCAGGGTGGCAGCTGGGACAGCCAGGGTATGGCTCAGAGAGGGAAAGCCAGAAGCTGGGGGGGTCACACAGCAGCCAGCTCTTGGGTAAGCAGGGGCAGGGCCAGTTTGAGGGGTGCCCAGCACAGTATGGGCTTCAGGTGGGGCTGATAAGTGACCATGGTGTGCCTGACCCTCCTGGCTATTAGGGCAGCGCCAGGGAACCAGAGACATGGCATGCGCCCAAAGGCAGCTACCTGCTGTCTCCACCGAGGCGGCCAGCTGCCCGTTCTTCTTGGCGGTCACAAACTTGCCATTGGACGCTCTCAGGGTGATGCGCCGATCTCGCCACTCAATGTCAAAGAAGCAGCTGGCGTTCCTGGGGGTGGTGGGACAGGGTCAGGGTGCCATCTGGGTGGCACAGGAGGAAGGGATGAGAGCACGGGCAGGGGAAGGGGGCCACTCACTTGGTGGACGCGGTGGACTGCACACCCCCGGTAGATGTCAGCGTCCAGTACTTGCCCGTGTGCGTGCGGAAGGCACACTTTCGGGTGTCCCGGTCGATCTCGAGCTGGAAGGTCTCCTGGTCAGTCTCCTCGTCCTGATTGGCCGACAGATCCATACCTGCAGAGAGGGAGCCCTTGGCTGGTACAGGGCACCTTGTGTCCCCCAGTTCTGGACCCACTGCCCCGCCATCACACATCAACACACAGGGACACCACAGGGAAGGGGCCAGGGAGACCCTCAGCCTGCACATGAGTGGCAGTCGACAGGACCCAGTCACAAAGGCTGGGCTGACAGTCAAGGGCCCCAGCTCACTACACCATTTCCACCTTCTACCTCTGACCACAGAATACCCTAGGGGCGCCCGGGGTGGTGGTCAATCAATGCCTGTAATCCCAGAGCTTGGAAGGCTGAGGCAGGAGGATCACGAGTTCAAACCCAGCCTCAGCATTTGTGCAAGGCCCTTAGCAACTCAGCAAGACCCTGTCTCTAATAAAAATGTATAAAAACAGGCTGAGGATGTGGCTCAGTGGTTATGCACTCTGGGGTTCAATCCTCAGTACCAAAAAATGGAGAAAAAGATTATAAGGGCTGGTGGCGCAGGGCACATGCTCAGCCTGCAAAAGTTCCTGGGTTCCTTCCCAGGCACCAAAACCAAAGCAAACAAACAAACAGAAGTGACACCTCTGAACAAATCACCTCCAAGAGGTTCTCTGGAGCCAGGTGAGGAACCTTCCTGTGGCCTGGGACTGGGCAGGAGAGACTGAGTGTATGTTGTGGTTATGTAAGAAATGGCCTTGATTTTTTTTTTAGGTACAGATGGAAGTATTTCAGGATAAAACGCCCTGGTGTCAGGGATTTGCTTTAAATACAACCAAAAACATCACATAAAGGCACAGATGGAGATATTTTGGCAGCACATCGCCAGTTGGGGGAGGCGGGGCGCAGGCGGTATACGGGGGTTCGTTACAGTCTTCCTGCTTCCAGAATGGGTGAGATTTAAAAGAGTAAAACACGAGAGCGCAGGATCCTTCCAGAACATTTAGAAAACTCGTCACACCCCCTCCCTGCTGAACACTGGGCGCGGGATACCCCCACTGTCTGTTACGCATGTGTGTGCTTCACCCACGTGTGTGCTGTGTCTGGGCCTGGGAGCCATGTGACATCTGTATGCATCAGGAAAGAGCCCGGGTGACCATGTTGAGTCTTGGGAAGGCTCCTCCCTCCCCACCCCCCACTACAGTGCAGCCCCTGTCATTCTGTCCCTTGATTCTTTTAGGGAAAACCTGGAAGAGGGACCTCTGGGGGCCTCAAAGAAGCAGGGCCCCAAGGGCGTGGCAGGTGTCATCCCACAGAGGAGAGGACAGCTGGCGGATCTTGGATCCTGAAACGGAAGGACTCACTTTTTTTCTTTTTTGGTACCAGGGATTGAACCCAGGGGTGCTAAACTACTGGGCCACATCCCCAGCCCTTTTTTATTTTTTATTAGAGACAGGGTCTCACGGAGTAGCTTAGAGCCTCAGCTAAGTTGGAACCCCCCCCCCCCATGATCCTCCTGCCTCAGCCTCCCGAGGCACTGGGATTACAGGCTTGCAACACCCGCCTGGCAAGGACCCACCTTTAGTTCACATCCTCCAAGTCTGGGGGTGCTGGCACCATCTGAACTCAATCACATGCCCCTAAGTGCCAGGCAGAGGAGACCCTCAGCCCTCCTTCACAAAGAGGGAGACTGAGCCTGAGGGTGCATGTCCCTGGACCAAGGTCACAGGGTGAAAAAATAAGAGCTCTGGGAGGGGAGGGAGCAGACTCCTGGCCACGCCCTCCTTCCCCCCACTGTGCCTTGGGTCTACTAATGGGTGGGTGCAGCCTCCTCCTGACAGTCCGAGCCCCTGCCCCTGCCCCTCTTAGAACCTCTGGGCCTCTAACCTGTCCCCTGTTGGTGAATGGACCCACCACCAGGCCCCAGGGAAGCCGGGGTCTCTCCTTGCTCAGACCCCACCCAGTGAGAGGAGCCAAAGCCACAGGGTTGCCCTATGGCCACAGCTACACAGGGCACCTCCCACCGTCCCCCTCGCCTGCCCAGAAAGGGGGTGCGCATCTGCAGGCAGGCCAAGCGTCCATCAGCCAGGCGAGCTGGGCAGGGGGTTCAGGATCCTGCTCTAGGAGGCTGCATGGTAGGCCCCAGCCCGCCCCAGCCACAGAGCACCACCGCCCAACACGGTGATCAGAGGGAAGGAAGGGAACAGGCAGGAGGGAAAGCCCCTGGGGACCACCCCAGCAGCACAGAGGGGGCCCAGGCTCCCCAGGAAGGACAGTAGGCACAGGAAAGAGGCCAACGGGACAGGACCTGGGGCTGAGGGCCTCGCAGATGACCAGGGCACCACCAGCTACACCTGTGCAAGAGTGGACCCCAGTCAACCCCAGTCCTCCCAGCAACCTCATGAAGTGACACCATCTTCCTCCTCCCAGACAGAGGAAGACAGGGAGCTCCTGTGGAGGCCACTACTGGCCCAGGGCCAGGGACGGCCACCATCTGCTTGGGTCCTCACACCCCATCCACGAGATTGCCTCCAGGCCTCAGAAAGTTTGATGAAAGGCCTCAACCAGACAGGGAGGCACCTGAGGTGGCACCAGGCACCCTGGGTGACACCTTCACTGAACCCTGCCTCAGCTTCCCCGCCAGGATGTAGGGAGCCTTCGGGGGCCTTGTACCAAGTACCCCCAGGTCCTCCCACCAGGAAGGGCTGGGGGAGGGGAGCGGTCCCCACCCACCCAGGCCCTCCAAGGCCTCACCCAGCCCCCAAAGGCCCCACTTGGCCTCGCTGCCTCTAATTGGGTGCTGTTACCATGGGAACGGGTTTTCTGTGGGATTTATCTCTTCAACCGCGGCACAGAAAACCTGAGTCACAGGCTCAAGGAGCCCCGCGGAGCCAGGAGGCTCCTCAAAGGCGCCCAGGACATATCTCTTGCCCTCTCCAGGAAGCCCTGGGCCCCTGCCTGCCCTCCATCCTGACCCCTGCGCCCAGCTTCTCTGCCACTCTCTGGGGGGGCTCAAAAAGGGCACTCGCTCCCTGAGGTCACCTTCCTGAACCCCTTCCAGCCCTTGGGAGCTCCCAAATCCCCCTGGCTTGTCCAAAATAGGCACTTCCCCTGAACCCATCCAGATTAGGCAGGGGGCTTGGAAAACCCGTGGCCTCACCTCGTGTCCCTCTCTCCAGGCAGCTGGGAACCCCTGAACCCCTTCTCCATCTCACAGGCCAGCCCCTGTCTCAGGGAGAGAACTCATGCATTCTCACAAAGCCCAGCCTGACAGTCCCTTGGAATAGCTGGGACAGGGCACCACAGAGCCAAGCTGGGTGCAGAGCTCAGATACAAGGGCGAGTGACAAGAAGAGAGGCCAAGACCAGAGGAGTGTGCTGAGCCACGCAGGGCAGCGTCCTGAGCAGGAGGGAGATGCCACCTGGGTAAGGGCTTGTTCACAGGCTAACCGGGCCCTGTTGTGATGTCTCCTCCCAGGAGCACGGCCTACCTGGGGAGTCTGTGCACGTCCCAGTTGGGGAAACTGAGGCTGGAAAGCAGGAGGCAGCCTCTGCCAGGAGCACCAGGCCCCCGCACACCCAGCCGCACACATCCTGCAGGGATGATTCATATCCCCAGCCCTCCGGGCCCCAGGATCCTCCTCCTTCCTGACTGGCGGTTCCCAACATGTGCGGAACCCAGCCCGCCTTCCTGCCACGAAGGCCTATCCAAGACACACCCCCACCCCATGGAGGTTCAGGATCCTGTGTTACCTCCACCCCTGGAAGCCCTGAGGCGACAGCGTTTGCTGATACAGTGGAGGCTCAGCCTCAGACCCCCAAGCCTCCCCATCCCCCATTTCACATCCCTTTAAACACCAAGATGAGCCAGATCGGCCTTACTTCAACTCCAGGCTTCTCCTGAAAGCATAACTGAATCAGCTTGAATCATAACTGTGGTGCCCCAAGTGAGCTGTACTACAGAGAGGTATCTGCCCAGGCTTGCCAAAAAACACCCTCAGGCTCTCTGTTCCTCCTCAGCCCCCAAGGACTAAGGTCACCTGCTCTAGTCCCATCCTCCCCAGGGAAGGAGGCTCTGGACACAGCCCAATAGTCACAGAGAACATCTGTGTTAATGAGTACCATCCAAGTCCTGTGGCCCTGCAAGTCCCTCCAGCTCCACCTCCCAACCTCACAAACTTCATCCTGGCCACGAATTTCATCTGTGCCTTCCTGCCACAGGGCCTTTGCACAAGCTGTAGCCACCACCGTTCCACACACTTAGTATAGCCACATCACTCTCAAGGTCAGCTCAAGTGTCCTCTCAGGAAGGAGCAACCTGCCCATACAATCTGAGACCCTGATCCTGTATCCCCAGTCTTTCCCTTGATATCTCAGTCATGTCCCCAAGAGAAGGTAAGCTACATTTCTTCTCGGCTCACATCTCGGCACATCCTCAGTGTTTACTAAACAGGTAGAAATCGTGATCCACCCAGAAGTGTGAGATGGGAAACAGAATGCTGGCAAGCACAAGGGTGCCCAGATAAGGGCACATTCTAGAGTCAAACGTACCCAGTCCTGCAAACTATTTACTTGCTGCCTGACCCAGGGCAAGTGGCTTCACCTCTCTGGGCCTTACCTCAGCTAACTCAGGCCCCTCCCAGGCCTCCACCTTTACCTCACTGCCAAAAGGGCCCAAAGCCAGTTGGGAGAATGGCCATCCGAGGACCCCCTCCACTGGGAGGGAACTGCCTGGGTCCCCATCCAATTATCTCCAAGGCTGGGGTCCAACTGCCCATCCAGGAGCAAGACCCTCACAGGCCTCTCCAGGGGGCCTCTGGCTGCAAACAGCTTCTTGGCAAAGGACAGGGAACGCCAGAAGGCAGAGACAGGGCCAAGGGGGAGGGTCTGGGAAAGGAGGCAAAGAGTGGGGCTCACTTCTGGCGCCCAGACCCGTCGGAAATGGCCTGCCTGCGGGAGGCCCTGGAAGGGACAATCGAGTTGCCGCCAGTTGTTCCCTGTAGGGTTCTTGGGCACGAATCCACTCGGGGTAGGGGCTTCCCCGGGAGTCGGGCTGGGGCTGGGGTCTCCCTCTGAGCGCCCAGGCAGCTCGGGCGCCCGAGCCGGGAGGCGCGCGTCAGGGCACAGGGCGGGGTGCCTGGCGCACTGCCAACCGAGCCACGCTGCTGGCCGGCTGCTGCGCGGAGTGAGGCCGCCTCCTGGGGCGCCTCGGGACGGGACATTGCGCCTGGACAGCGTCTATGGCCGCATTAGAGCTTCCTCCGCAAGAGGACCCTCCAGAGCCGATCCCCTCCCCCGCCCCGCCGCATCTGGTTTTCCCATCTGCAGAGACCAAGCAGGACAAAGGGGGAGAGGGAGGGCCCAGCGAGGCGACCCGCCCCCTGCTCACAAAGGCCGCGGCCTCGAGCGCGGGGCAGGCGAGAGAGGAGGGGCGGGGGGAAGGGCAGACACTCGGGAAGCCCCCCCACCCCACCCCCCGCCCCGCAGGCCCCGACCCCGCCCGGCAATGGGAGGAGGTACACAAGGCCAGGCGCGAGGGGAGGTGGAAGCACACCCCGTCGGGATCAAAAGCCCGGCTAACCTCCCCCACCTCGCCAGCGACAGGAGGAAGGGGGTTGGGGGCCTGTGCCAGTGGTGACCGTCGCCTCCTCCCTCTATCTAAAGGCCTGCGGAAAGGCGGACCCACTAGAGCAAAGGGGCGGGGGCGCCCACTCCCCAAGAACTGGGAGGATTCGAGGCATCAGCGCGCGTGGGGAGAACCCAGGTTGGGTGGGGGTGGCACACAGGGCGGCTCCAAAGCTGGGCCTAGGGGGCCCCACGACTCCAGCCTCGGATGGGAGGCACGTAGCGGCGCCTGAGGATGGGCGAGGCCCCACCCCTTTGCCCCCTCCTCTGGGCGGAAACACAAGTCCCGTGGAGGGGCGAGGTGGCCTGTACGCCTAGCGCAGGGCACTCAAGGAACTGGCGATAGCAGCGGCGCCGCGGGCTGGAAAGGGCGGGAGACTGTAAGGACGCGGGTGGGGTGTGCTTTGTGCACCGACCGGGAGACGCGGGGCGGCGTCCCCACTCACCCTGGCGCGTGGACACGTTCCTCTCGTTGGCCGCCTGCAGCACGACCTGGGCGCAGCTTTGCTCCAGGGCGAAGAGCTCGTCCTTGCCCACCTTGGTGGCCTTGCCCGCCTTCAGCGTGCCACTGGGCCCAGACGGCGCCAGGTAGCGGCCTTCGCAGTCGCGGAAGGCCACCTTGCCGGAGCGGAACTCCAGCGTGTAGCCGGTGGCGGGCTCGGGGCGCGCTACCAGGCGCCCGTCGTGGCGCAGGAAGCGGTGGTCAGCGGTCTGCACGCTGTAGCGCTGGTCCTGGAAGGCGAGCGTGATCAGCGAGTCGACGCCCCAGGGCACGTCGCGGTCCACCGCGATCTCGTCGGCCGGCCGTGCGCTCAGGTGCGCGTAGCGCTTTCGGGTCAGGCTGTAAATGTTGACCTGCGGGTGCATGGCGATGTGCACGCTCCACTTCTCGGCCGGTGACACGGTCTGGGCGAAGCACGACAGGCGGTCCTCGGTGCCGCCAAAGTAGCGCCGGTGCGCCTCGGACTGCAGCGACCAGCGGCCGTCGTCGTGCGCCACGATGAGAAAGCGGCAGTCGGCGCCGGGCACCTCGCACTCGCAGGTCACGTTGCCGTCCTTGTCCGCTGCCAGGTAGCGGCCTAGGTGGCTGCGCAGGCACACGGCTGCGCTGCCCGCCTCGTCGGGCGGCTGCTCCAGGGTCCAGATCTGCTTCTTCTTCAGGCTGCTGGCCGACGCGTTCACCTTGAACCCGAACGCCTCGGCCGTCAGGTACTTGTTGCCGCAGTTGATGAGGCCGAACTGGATCTGCACGGCCTCGGCCGTGCCGTTGGCGGTCATGGTGGCGGCGGGCGGAGGCCCCGGCGCGGCCCGGGAGGTGGGTGGCGGTCCCCTCAGCGGCTCCCCTGCTCCTTTGTCTAGCGGCCGCGGCCCGCGCGCACCCTCCGCAGCGCTCCACAAAGCCAGCCAGCCGCTCCCGCCCGCTTTATAGGCGGGGTGACGTCAGCGCCGCGAGGCCCCGCCCCGCCCCCCGAGCTTGGCAGGGGAGGGCCCGGAGCAGACTCTGCGGAGGGCTGCCCGGGGGGCGCCGGGCGCGGCTTGTCACTCACTCAGCCTCCGTTCCTTCTCCACCGCCGGCCTCTGCAGCCCTCGTTCCTCCCGCGGCCGCCGGTTTCCCCCATGCTATCGCTCCATCCCTGGTTCCCAGTGCCCACTATGGAACCCATCGGATGCCCCCCACCGCCCCCAACCTGGGGGGGAGGGGTGGAGATGGACAGGCCAGGTGGGAGGTGACTTCAGAGGCCACAAGAACCCCAGCGCAGATCCATGATAGATGGAATCGGATCCGGGGAGCCCCAGAAAGTGGCCTTAGAGCAAGGTCTTGAAGGAGCCAGAGATAGGTAGAAGGTTGGCAGATGAGAAGACCTGGTGAGGAATGGGTCGGGCTGGAGCTGGAGAGGGGCCTGCGGACCCCAACCGCCCAATCCAGGATGCACTTAAACCTTGCAGAAAGACCCTCTGGAGCAGAAGTTGTGGTTCCCTGAGGCTTCTGTCCCAGTGCCATGCAGCCTGGCTGGCCCAAATAGGTCTCAGTGATAGCGGGGTTGTCAGTGCCAGTGTCCCCATTCTGGTGATGCACAGTCACATGCTTCTGATCTACCAGGCGGTGGGATGGGCAGGGCAGGAATTACTGTTCCCATTTTTTAGGTACATCAGAGAGGTCAGACAACCCTAGGACAGCCCAGCCCAGCAGCTCAGAGCAAGGTCTCAGTGCCTCCCACTCCCCCACCCAAGCCCCAACTTTGTGTTGACTTTGTGTGGAGAGTGTGACTCTGGTTGTAGCTCTCCCATCCTTCAGGACCCCAGTGCTTCATCTTCCTCCCTCAGAAGGGACATTCCCTACAAACATCACCTCCCACCACCCATCTAGGAACACATCCCCTTTCTGAGCCTCTCAGAAGGCCAAGACTTTTCCTGGGACATTCCCCAAATGCCAGGCAGGCCCCTGGAATGCCAGCATGGCCACAGGCTGCCCACAGATCCCAGGCTGGGCCCTTCAGTGCCCCTGTGGCTTTGACACTGAGTTAGCCAGTCCTCAGCTTGCTTGGAACACCCTGCCTACTCAGAGCACCCCAGCCTGCCCCTGCCCCAGGTAATCCCCTCCAGGGATTTTCTGGGTGGGGAGGGAAGGTGGTGTCACTTCTCACTGTTCTGACTCAATTGTGCTTCCTGGAAGGGCCTTGAGCCCCAGTCCAGAGTAGACTGTACCATCCCCTCCTATAGAGCCCACCTTGCTGGAAATGAAAAGTTTCTTCTATGGACCCTTCTAGTGGGCCTTGCAAACCTGGGCTTGAAATCCTGTACTTTGTGACTTGGGCAAGTTATTTAGTCTCTCTGAGCCTGTTTCCTCATGTGAGGGTGGAGTTGGGGAGAGGATACTAGGTATTGAACCCAAGGGCACGCTACCACTGAGCTACATCCCCAGACCTTTTTATTTTTTACTCCCTAAATTACTGAGGTTGTCCTCCAACTTGCAATCCTCCTGCCTCAGCCTTCCAAGTCTCCCAGATTACAGATATGCACCACCTGTTTCTTTTGCAAAAGAGATACCAATCACTGGTAGTGGTGGCACATGACTATAATCCCAGTACCTTAGGAGGCTGAGTCAGGAGAACAGTAAATTCGAGGCCAGTCTCCACAACTTAGTGAGGTCCTAAGCAACTTATCGAAACAGTCTCAAAATAAAAGATTTAAAAAGGGCTGGTGGTACATATCTTGTAATCCCAGCAGCTCTGGAGGCTGAGGTAGGATGATCGAAAGTTCAAAGCCAGGCTCAACAATTTAGCGAGGCCATAAGCATAACTTAGTGAGATCCTATCTCAAAATATTTTTTAAAAGGGTTGGGGATGTGGCTTAGTAGTTAAGCAGCCCTGGATTCAATGTCCTGTACCCAAAAAGAGTGGGGGCATGACAATCCCCTTTCCCAGGTTGATCCAAGAGTTCCCAAGGGCGTAGAACTCATTTAGACACTGACCCAGCTACCCTCAGACTCATTCCAGCACCCAGGAGTCCTTTGCCTAGTGAGGGAGACCCCAAACCTCTGGTCATCTGCCAAGATCAGAGGAAGGAAGGTGGAGAAACTAGGTGCTTATGACAGGCTGGCAGGAGGGCAGGGTATGCTGAAACCTGCCCACTGGGATCAGGGCAGGAGGGGCTGGATCTCGGGTCTGTCAGGCCAGGTGCAGGATCAGGGCCAGGTTTTCCCAGGCAAAGCCTACCCAGGGCAGAAAGCCTAGGGAGGCCAAATGGGCAGCAGAGGCAGCTTGGACCTTTGCATTGGGGCTTCCTGGTTCAAGTTCACATCTCGGAGAATTTTCGAGCTTTTCTTGTCTTGAAAAGGAGCATAATAATGGCACCTACCTTGGGGGAGCCATTGAGAAGATCTGACACACATAAACTTGGACTGAGGGGGTTTGTGGACCGTGGGATTCAGTGTTCAAACCCGGAACCTCTTGGGCAAACCTGGACAAGTTGTAACTACTCATCAAGCAATTAAGCCAGTCAGTGCCTGACAAGTGTCAGAGCCCAATAAATGCCAGCTGTTTGATTATTCACTTAACAACATGAGCCAAGGGTCCTGGGGGCACAGTTAGGATCAGCCCAGGTGGAGGAAGCACAGAAGTTCATGCATCACAGCTATTCGTTTTAAATTTTTATTTCTTTTCTTTTTAAGTGCTGGAGATTAAACCCAAGGGTGCTTAACCATTGAGCCACATCCCCAGCCCTTTTTTTAATTTTTATTTTTAATTTTGAGACAGGGTCTCCCTAAGTTGCTGAGGCTGGCCTCCAACTTCCTGTCTTCCTGAATCTCTGGGATTACAGGCATGCTCGGCTTGCTATTTGTTGAATACATGAAAATCGAATGGAGAGGGGGAGACACAGAAAGAACCCTGGATTTCCCCCACAGGACAAGTCCAGGTCAAGTGAACAAAACAGAGCTCTAGATGGGGGAAAATCCATGCTGGGACAGGATGAGGTCATCTGTGGTCAGTGCATGAAGAATTGAGGTCAATTTCAACAGATGCGAAACCAAAGCCCTTATTATTCTTATTTCATTTGTTTCCTTCCAAACAGACAATACATTCACATAGTTCAAACATCAGAAGCCATAAAAAGACCTTCATCCACCCAGTTCCCACCGGACCCTCTCAATAGTTAAGGTTAGAGTTGTTTCTTTTTATAAAATAAAGACAAGCAAACCTGAGTGTATATATTCTGCTCTTTTTTATTATTGATTGATTAATTGATTGACACCAGGGATTGAACCCAGAGGCTCTTAACACTGAACCACATCCCCAGCTCTTTTTTTTTTAATCGTCAGAACACTTTTTTTAATATTTATTTTTTAATTATAGATGGACACATATCTTTATTTCATTTTTTTATGTGGTGCTGAGGATCAAACCCAGTGCCTCACATATGCTAGGCAAGTGCTCTACCTCTGAGCCACAACCCCAGCCCCCTTTTTATTTTTTATTTATTTTGAGATAAGATCTTGCTAAATTGCTTAAGGCCTCACTAAGTTGCTGAGGCTGGCTTTGTACTTGTAATCCTCCTGCCTCAGCCTCCGGAGCTGCTGGGATTACAGGTGTGCACCATCCTGCCTGGCTACTCTTTCTTTTTTTCTACTTGGTATTTCTTAGCACTATTTCTGCTTTAGTACTTCCACAGCTTCTTCCTGCCTTATCACTGCAACTGATAATCCTTTGCAAGAATGTCCCATTGTTGGGCTGGGGATGAGGCTCAAGTGGTAGCGCACTCGCTTGGCATGCGTGAGGCCCGGGTTCGATCCTCAGCACCACATACAAACAAAGATGTTGTTGTGTCCGCCGAAAAAACTAAAAAAATAAATATTAAAAATTCTATATTAAAAAAAAAAGAATATCCCATTGTTACTTAATGAGTTTATAGGTTGTTGCTATTGATGCTGTGCTTGGGACAGACCCCCCCCTTCCTTTACCCCCACCCCCCCCACCAATAGTGAAGCCTTCAACGACAGATGGATATGTGTTTGCGTGTTTCATTGCCTGGAGCTGAGCCACGGACCATGCAAAAAACATCAAGGCTGTCCAGCCTTGGCTTGAATGCCTCTGGTGACAGGAAGCTACCTCTGTCCTCTAATGTGTGCCAACACAGGTGATATATATTTGGGTGAAGCCTTGGAGGCGAGAGGGCCCTGGCCCACAGCTGCGACAGGAAAGCAGTGTCCTTGTGGACAAGGCAGTCTGCAGATGGTTGTGTCTCATGGCCATAGAGCTTCCGGTGGGGGCAGGCTATTCTTCTTGTTATTAGTTATTGTTGGAAAGCCAACATAGGAACAAATCTCAGGCAAGTTTAGCAAAGGAGCATTACAGACATCCTTCCTGCTCTACACCCACGCCTTCCCCGAGCCCCGGTTACTCTGGGCACCTCTATGTCCTGTGCAGGATAAGCTGCACCTGAGTTGGTCACTAGGGCTCTTCTGCAAGCCCAGCTTCGAGCCCTCTGGGGAAAGAGGGGGACATGGATGCTGTGTCCCTGGGCCCCACAGGAACCCGGGTGCTGCCACCTGAGCCACTTTGGAATGAGGGCAGGGCACAGGAAAACAGGTGCTCAGCTGGAGCTTGGCCTGGGCCACTTCCACTTGGCCATCGATCCCTTTAGCTCGCCCTGGAAGGGAAACAAGGCCACCAGGAAGGGCGGGCTCAGCACAGCCTCCCGAGGGAGGGCTCAGACCCCTTTCTTCCTCACTGGGCAGCCTGAGAGTGTCTCAGGACAGCTGCTGCTGGAACAGGGATGGACACCCAAGAACTCAGGGGTGGACACCCAAGGACTCAGGGTTGGGTCCTCCTGACTGCACCACTGGCCCTGGAGTTGTGTCCCTCAACCCCCCCACACACACCTGCTTCGCACCACGTCCTGATTCACA